CACTACTTCGACTATGAAAGCGAACAAACCTTTGTTGGCCTTGCTGTCTGCTTGATGTGGGGTGTGAAGTCGTGCACAATCGACGTTTTGCCAGAGGATCCAACCACTGCAGTCATTTCGTACCATTGGCCTCCAGGCCTGACCAAGATCAAGTCCAAGTTTACGTCGGAGCTCGAAAACACGGCGACCAAAGCAAAAACGTATGCCAAGATCCAGGCATTCGCATATGCAATGCAAAACCACCGTCAGAATCAACAAACATCCCCGATGTCGACCCAGCTGGTTGATTTGCCATTGCCTGTTATTCCTCATTCCTTCGAGTTCAATGTTGGCATCGACACTATTGACGAGGATGTGATCATCGTTGAGTTCAAGGTCCAAGGAAATTCGTCATCTCACGGCAATATCTCGCTCCAAAAGTAGTAGTTTAAGTCGTTTTAACACATTTTGTTTTGAATTCATCATTTCCCGCAGCCTCCAGTAGAGATTTTGCAAATCGTTCCGCCACTCCCACGCCACAAAAAATCATGTGTTTGACAGAACTGGCGTAAACCTTTCAAATCACATTGAAAAACTCATCATACATTATGATGCCACCCTGGAATTGGTCATTTGTAGTGGCAACCAACCATTAGCCCCACCAGTCCCAACGAGTCAGTATGTGGAGCATGTCGACCCCCGACTGTGACTGAGGCTGGGACGACAGTCCACAACCTTGAAGTACACGATCTGTTGATGACAAAGGACGACGAAAGATGCCCCAACGCATGTCGCGTCGATAACACTAACTCCGGAGTACATTTCAACGCGCATACAACGATGCGATCACCTGGCTATGCTACTTCCTACTTACAGGTAGACTCATACACCTACATCGATTTTACGAACGATACGCGGATGGAGGACGCGTGGTAAGTCGTGCTGAGGCCAGCGGTATGTCGTGCTGCGTGCGCTTCACCCGCGTATGGGCTTCAAATCAGAGGTTCCGAAATATTTATTCTGTACTTATTTTTTCGAACTTGAAGTGTGCAATATTTACTTTTCCAACAGTGTACTACGGGTTACCTATTTTTTATAGTAGACGAATAAAAAACATATTCTTTTTTAGGCGCTAAATAAATAACTTATTTAAATAATTCATGAGAATACCGTTTATTCAACATGTTCCTAACTACGTAGTACATACTAGTACATACTACCGGTAGTACTACGTAGTACCGACTTGCTAATAGATTTACTGTTAGCAAGTTTGGACACATTCCAGACCTAGAGGCTGCGGGAAATGATGAATTCAAAACAAAATGTGTTAAAACGACTTAAACTACTACTTTTGGAGCGAGATATTGCCGTGAGATGACGAATTT